TTCAAAGAACCAGCTTTTTGCTTTTTTAATTCTTTGAATTGTTTTCTGTGTCTCAATTGAATTAATTTCTGCTCTAATCTTTATGATTTCTTCCCGTCTTTGGGCTCTGAGTTTGGTTGCCTCTTCCTTTTCTAGTTGTGGAAGGTGCAGCATTAGGGTATTTATTTGTTCCCATTCTGTTTTCCTAATGTGTGAGTTCACAGCTATGAATTTTCCTCTGAGAACTGCATTCATCGTATCCCATAAATTCCGATAAGTTGTGCTTGAATTTTCATTGAATTTTAAATATTTTTGAATTTCTTGTTTAATTTCATCTGTGACCCATTAGTTGCTAAGTAGAGTGTTGTTTAATTTCCATGTATTTAGGGTTTTTTTTCTGGTTTCTTTTGTCATTTATTTCCAGTTTCATTGCATTGTGGTCAGATAATATGCATGAAATAACTTCTGTTTCTTTGCATAGACTTAAGCATGACCTATGGACCAGTATGTGGTTTATTTTAGAAAATGACCCATGTGCAGCTGTGAAAAATGTGTATTCAAGCTGTGTTTGGTTGGAACATTCTGTATATGTCCACCAAGTCCATTTGTTTCAAGCTCTGGTTCAGTTCCATTATTTCTTTGCTAAGTTTTTGTCTGGTTGACCTATGTTTTTGGGATAAGGGAGTGTTAAGATCTCCTGTTAAGACTGTGGTCTTGGATATTAGATTTTTCATGTCCATTAAGATTTGCTTTATATAGTTGGGTGCTCCCGTGTTTGGTTCATAGATGTTTATGTGTTACCTCTTCCTCTTGAATTTTTCCCCTAACCAGTATATAGTGGCCTTGTTTATTTCACTTGATCATTGTTGGTTTGATATTGAGACTATCTGAGAAAAGGATTGCTACCCCTGCTTTTTTCTGAGGTGGTGGGGCATGTAATAGTGTGTTCCACCCTTTGACTTTCATCCTATGAATGTCCTTTTGAGTTAAATGTGTTTCTTGTATACAGCATATTGTTGGATTTTGTTTCCTAATCCACTGTGCCAGTCTACTTAATTGGTGAATTGAGTTCATTTACATTGATAGTTAGAATTGAGATTCTATGATTGACACGTCCTTATGATTGACATGTTATTTACCTGTTGTTGTTTACTTCTTTTTCTCCTGTGTTTAATTGCTTGCCCTATTTAATTGGTTGATTCTGATCTCATTCGTGGAGTTCTGATCATTTTGGTCCCTCTCTAGAACATATTCAGGAGCCTGTGTAGGGTTGGCTTTGTCATCATGAAATTATTTAGTTGTTCTTTGTCATGGAAGTATTTCACTTCTCCATCACACTTGAAAGAGAGGTTTTTAGGGTATAGTACTCTGGGCTGGAATTTGTTTTCATAGAGGACTTGAAGTACTCTGCTCCATGCTCTTCTTGCCTTCATGCTTTGTGAAGAGAAGTCGACTGTAATTCTGATGGGTTTTCCTTTGAATGTGATCTGCTTCTTTTCTCTAGC